GGGGGGGCAGAATCCTTGATTAGGGACTGTTATCATTGCTATTGTTGATAATACTGAGTTAATCAGGTCAAGGTTTTAGAACAGAGGGGAGGCATTGTAAGCCCTGGTAAATGTTAGCTACTGTTATGAGATCACTTAATGAGTAACCTGCCTGAGGTTACAGGGCTAGTAAGTGCCAGAGCTGGGGTTTGAATCCTGCACTGGTTCTAAAACTCCACCTTTTTTTTTTTTTTAATTGATTTGAGAAAGAGAGAGACATCAATTTGTTGTTCCACTTATTTATGCATTCATTGGTTGATTCTTGTATGTGCCCTGACCCGGGATCAAACCCGAAACCTTGGTGGAGCGGTATAATGCTCTAACCACTTAGATATCCAGCCAGGGACGACTCTGCTCTAATTGTTACCCTATTCACTACTCTGATGTCCAGTGACATTAGCTCTCATTTCACCGGCCCCAACCTCCTCTTGATCTTGGCACTTGGTTGCTGTAGCCAGCCTAGCTCTCTAAGGCAGGCCTAGAGTTCTTGGCATTAGGGAGCCTTCCCCAGGATACGGGCTTAGGATGGAGGATGCTGGCTGCTAATGTTGAAAGCATGTAAGCATGAGCAAACGTGAACTGCCGGGAGCTTAGAAGTGGATTCCCTCCACTGAGAGGGAGCCCTGGTGACTTTAAATGCATGCTTTATTTATCTTGGACTTTTAAACATGTGTGGAGAAATTCTATCCTGAGTTGGGTGGGGGGACAGGTGGAATGTTTGAAGACATAAATCTTGTATCTAAATTGCAGTCCATTAACAGACTTCCTTCAGCAATACAGCGTGTGGACTGAGCTGGGGACAAAGACAATGGTTTGGGGGGGCCTTTTCCCCCTTGCTACCACATGAAGGAGCAAGAGGGATGGCCTTTGGCTTCCCCTGCCCTTTTCTGCTCAGCTGTGCTCACCACCAACTTCATTGCAGCAACAGCAGCTCCAGGCGCAGCACCTCTCCCATGCCACGCATGGCCCCCCGGTCCAGTTGCCACCCCACCCATCAGGCCTCCAGCCTCCAGGGATCCCCCCAGTGACAGGAAGCAGCTCGGGGCTGCTGGCACTCGGAGCCCTGGGCAGCCAGGCCCACATGACGGTGAAGGACGAGAAGAACCACCATGAGCTGGACCACAGAGGTGCGGCCTGGGGCTGGGGCTAGGCTGGTGCTGGGGCCAGAGGGCAGGGCTGGGCTGGGGGAAAGGTCCTCTGGCCCCACTGTAAGTGGACACAGCAACTGCTGTTACCCTAGGATCAGGAGTTAGCAAAAGATTTGAAGCCATCTCTTGAATTCCTAGTGTATGGAAACCAGAGCCCCATACCCCATGCCAATCCCCCTAGTCCCTGATGTGCACCCAAGATTCTCTGCCCTGAAAGACACGTTGTCCATTCATCCCAGAGCACCCACCCTACTTCCTAGCGACACTATGCCTAGCCCACTCTCCAGGATGCCTTCCTGGCCGGGCTGGGATCTTTTTCAAATTCCCATAAGAGTTTAAGAGATAGAGTCCCAAAACTGAGCCTTTTGTTACTGTCTTCTTGTATCCTACTCTTGGAAAGTGCTTTGTCCTCACCAAGACCATTAGTCCTCTGAGAACAGGGGCCAGATTCCTGGGGGTTGAACTTAGTATGTGTGTCTCACCAACACAGGTGCCTTGGAAAAGGCACATAGCAGTCACATAAAGGCTTGTAAGTTGACTGTCTTTAAGCAGAGGTAGCCACCACACTATTGCAGGGAGGTGCTTGAAAAGACTTGGAATGAGGCCCTTACTGTGAGGATGCAGGAAGCTGCACAGAGTAGGCCCTCAGGAGGACTCAGTTCGATTGGGAAAGGGAAGGGCCTAGCTTCCTGGAAGAGCCTTTCCAAAAACAACCACCTTGTGTGCGCTGCCCTTAGGTGTTTTTTCCTAGCTTTATTAAGATATAATTGACATATAATATTGTGTATGTTTAAAGTATTCAGCCTGATGATTTGATTTTCCCTTAGATATTTGCTAGGGCACATGGCCAACACCTTCCCAGCTCCCTGGGCACCACACTCTTGGGCACTGGGGGCCTGGAGTGTAATCATTCTGCTCTGGCCGGGACCCCAGGGTGGTACCAGGCCGTAGGAACCAAAGACTGACATTTCTCTCCCCACAGTAGGATGGTACTCTCTGCAGAGGAAGAGGGCCTCCGCACATCAGGCAGGAGAGTTTGGGTGCTAGTGCCCAACTGGGCAAATAATTAGAGGCTTCAGCTTCTGGCAAAGAAACAGAATGGTGTTAATTAAACAACAAACACCACTCTATTTTTTTTTTTTTTTTTTAAATATATATTTATTGATTTCAGAGAGAGGAAGGAAGAGGGAGAAAGAGAGATAG